TAATTTTCAATCAGTGCGAATAAACAATTAACAAAACTTAAAACGAATTTCTTCCACGTACGAAGGCTAGGGAATCGGGGATGATTATACTCTAAACAAATTCGAACAGCAAGCGAAAATCGTTCGGCTAAATGATTCAATCAACTTACACATCTAGAGATTATTCCTCAATAACTTCTCGTAACAAGAGGAAAAATATGGACGGCAAATTAAACCAATCAATTAACACGTAGGCAATACAATTACGAACAAGCCTACTCTAGTCGAGCCTGAATCGATCGACTTCTCCCCTTTAGGTTCTACAAGTCGATTAATTAGATCAGAATGGTGATCAAGCATCCAACCCTAGGTTTAAATCAACTCGAAAAGATTGAACAAATTTCACAGGTAAAATAAGCACGCGAGTACGAGTAATCACCCCCTATCCCTAGCTTAAGAATTTAGCCACTCATGCCAAGATGAACACAAGACATAGTATAAAGTAAATACTCCAAACTCATCATCAAAGTGAGAAGAAAACTTACGATAAATAAAAGTCAAGTGTTGGATCTCAAGCACAATCCAAATTCACGATCACAATCTTTTGGGTGTCACTCCCAAAAATCTCAAATTAAGCAAAGATAAAAGAGAACAATGTTTTCGTCTCCAAAAACGAGAGAAAATGAAAAGTGCCGAATAATCCCTGAAAACCCTTGCTCGATCCTATTTTGTAGCGATCAGATTAAACTTTCAAAAGACGTTCAAAATATCAGGCGCCGCGGCGCGAGGCGGGCCTTCACCGCGGCGCGAGACGGGGGTTCACCGCGGCGCGAGGCAGAAGCACGGCGCGGCAGACATACTTACCGCGGCGTGAAGAGGGTGGCACGGCGCGACAGGTAGATCCATCGCGGCGCAGCGACGTCGCGGCTCGGGGCGGCTGGTGCTTAACTTGCAGTCCGGGTCGTGGCACCTTCGCGGTGCGGGGCACTTGACGAACTGATATTCGGGTTGATTTGTTTTGAAGGCTGGGACGCACGCTGCTCGGAATATTTGACTAGCTCCAAACGTGATGAAAAACCTGAATCTACACACCACCAAAAACGAAAGAAAAACACACGAAAACAGACCAAAGAGCTAAAAATATCGAAAACGAGAAATAAACGGCAAACACATGAAACAAACAGCTAATGGACCAAAAGAACTAAAAGATTCCTAAAAACGGGGGTAAAAATTAACAAGTAAACAAAGAAAAATATAACAAAAATAGGACAAACAATAAACATGCAACTTACCATTTTAGGTTATTTTATATTAATATATTTTATTATAAATACATTTATATATTAATGCGCGAATAACTTGAGACTAATTTCTTATTTCTAAGCCCTATTAGATAATAAATTTAAATTCATTTTATATATGAAATATTAACTAACAAACTTATTAATATTTTCAAAATAGTTAGTTTTTATTTATACGTACAAAATAAGTGTCAAATAAAAAATCGTTATGAAGGTTAGTTCAATATTGATTAAAACATTGATAAAAAATAAAAAGATTATTATCCTTTTGGTAAGGAAATTATATTAATACTTAATAAAAAAAGTACAAGGATATAAAAATTAAATAGGAAAAAATTACAGCTAGGAAGTTTCTCCATCTATAACTTTTTTGGAAATATTTTAAATTTTTTAGTTTTTTAAAGGCAAAATTGCACCTCACATCACGACCTTTTTGACTTTTGCGTTTCTGTCACCACTTTGCGACCTTGGTAATTCGATACCCAACCTTTTGGTATTTTGCAAGACCAAGCATTGACCACATTACCGGCCGACCAATGCCAACCTGTCCGGCCATTTAATCCAACATGGCTCTGCCGTGGAGGACGTGTCTCAGGCAACATATACATGTCACCGCCGCGACGTTGTTTCTTGCATCTAACACTTCTTATAAAAAAAATAAAAATCAACCCTTATACATTTGGAATCCCTAATCGACACCCAAACTCAATTCAACCAAAAAAACCCTTCAACTGATAATCGACAGTCCCAATTTTTCCTCTGCAAATTCGAAATCCTCTTTCGAACCCTAATTTCTCTGTAAATCCGAAGCTGATGCTGTATGAATCCAAAAGCCATAGATTCCTTTTGTTGAAACAACTTTCTGAACTACTGATGGACAGTTATGAAACATCATCTCTTCTCTTCTTCTTTGTTTTTTGTTTTCCTAATATAAGTGCATTATGCATTATTTATTTATAATTGATAGATTAGGGTTCATTTAGGTGTAGTATGCTGATGAAGGTTCTTCTCATATTTTTAAGAGAAATCGTATCCTCTATGTTTTTTCAGAGAAAAATTATCAATCTTTGTCAATCACGGTGGGAAGTTTGTTATGCTGGATAATGCGATGGAGTATTTTGGAGGAGATATTCACATCAGCCATGGTATTGATATTGACAGGTTTGGTTATTTGGATTTAGTAGATGTAGTTGAGAAACTTGGTTATGTTGAGGTTGGCAAAATATATTATACGGTACATGGAGAAAATGGATCGGTTAGTTACATACATGTCCATAATGATGCTACTTTGATGGAGATGATTGAGAGTTTGCAGCCCAACAAATTCTATGTTCATGTCTTTGTTGATAATGGAAAAGATGGGCAGAAAAAGGCTTCAGAAGAGTCTGTGATCAATAATGCTGGTGAAAAGAGGGCAGGAGGAACCACTGATCATGTTCAACCTACTGTTAATACTTGTGTTGATGATGATGATGATGATAATGATAATGATGAGAGTGATGATGATGATAATAACCCATCAAATTGGAGTTCTAGTGAAGATGGACTTTCTGCGGCTGACTTGGGAACTGATGATGAGGAGTACCTTCTAGCAAGAAAAAAGGTTCTTTGGTGACAAGAAAATCAATAGTACACAAGATGACTCTCAGAGTGGACCCACCAATGGTGATCCAAGTGAACTATTCAGAGAAGAGGATGCATCAGAGTATGGAGACTCAGATGAAATTGATTCAAACACATCAGATGATGGTAGTGAGGATATTGAAGACAACAACAGAAGGAAAAAGATGAAAATGGTGTTGTATGACCCAAATTGTGATCACAAGGCACTGGCATTTCAGCTTAGAATGAGATTTGAGAACATTGCTCAGTGTAAAGAGGCCATTCAAAGTTATGCTGTGTATAATGGGTCTAATATCCAATTTTGGAGAGTGAATCAACATCAGGTAGAGGCCAATTGCATTGATGGTTGTCCTTGGAAGATATATGCAGGTGAAATCAAGGCTGAAGGAAGATTTGCAATCAAGAATTTTGTTTCACAGCACAGTTGTACCAGGGACATTAGAACAAGACAGGCTAATGCTACGTGGATTGCTAAAGAATACATTAACAAATTCAGAAAGAAGCCAAGAATTAAGATTGATAAGTTAGAGAACTACCTACTTGAAAAGTATGTTGGTCAGCCTTCAAAATGGAAGTTGTATAGAGCAAAGAAGAAGGCATTGGAAATGATTAGAGGATCTGAAGAAGAACATTATAAGTGCTTAAGAAGCTACATTGCTGAGTTGATGAGAGTTGATAGTGCTGAGAGGTTTAAAGTTCTTTTGGAAGAGGGCAGCTGTTTCAAGACCATGTATGTCAGGTTTAGTGCATTGAGGGATGGGTTTTTACAAGGATGCAGACCAGTGATTAGATTAGATGGCTGCTTCTTGAAGACATCTTTAGGAGGTGTCTTATTGTGTGCAGTGGGCAAAGATGGAAATAATCAGATTTACCCAATTGCATGGGGAGTTGTTTGCATGGAGAATGAATTTACTTGGTCTTGGTTCTTGGAAAAACTATTTTCAGAGCTCAAAATAAGGAATGGTTTGGGCTGGACTATCATAAGTGATTAACAAAAGGTTAGAATAACACTTTACATATGTACAATATTCATCTATTACAGAGTTGATATTTTGTTTATTCATATTATGCAGGGACTTATGAATGCTATCAGGACTTATGCCCCGCATGCTGAGCAAAGGAATTGTGCTAGGCATGTATACATGAACTGGAAAAAAACTGACAAAGGACAGACTTTGAAGAATTGCTTTTGGAAGCTTGTGCATAGCACATATGAGGCTGAATACAAGGAAGCACTTGAGGATTTGAAAGCAGTAGATGATAAAGCCTTCAAGGACTTCTTTACAAAAGAGACTTTTAGGTTCTGTAAGTGTTTTATTTCAGAATCTCCTAAGTGTGATATGGTTTTGAATAATGTTTGTGAAACATTTAATAGCACCATTGTGAAGGCTAGAAAGGAACCCATTGTGCAGATGCTAGAAAGCATTAGAAGTTATGTGATGGAGAGGCAAGATAAGCTTAAGTTGATTTGTGGCATCACTGATAAGATTTGTCCTAGGATTAGAGTTAGGGTTGAGAAAAATAGGTATAAGAGTAGGCTTTGTAGTACCAAGCCAGCCTTAGGAGAAAAATTCCAAGTTCAGTTGTTAGAAGACCAGTTTGTTGTATCCTTGAGAGAGCTGACATGTACATGCAGATCTTGGGATGTTAGTGGGATCCCTTGTGTTCATGCATGTGCAACAATAAATTGGCTGAAGCATGATGTGAGTGACTATGTGCATCCTTATTACTATGTTGAGAGGTATATTACAGCTTATTCAAAAGGACTTGAGTCTCTCAATGGTAAGAAAATGTGGCCTGAAGCTGTTGGTCATCCAATCAAACCACTTACTCTTAGAAGGATGCCTGAGAGACAAAATAAAAAAAAAAAAAAAAAAAAAATCAAGTAAAAGAGCACCTGGGGAGGAGGCAAGGAGTAGTACAAAGCTAAAAAGGTTTGGATTGCAAATGACTTGCCAAAATTACTTTCAAACTGGCCATAGTAGGAAGAGTTGCTCTAATGCTTCAGTTCAGAACCCAAAAAAGGTAATGTGAATTGACCTTCAAATTGTAATTGAAAAATATAAGCTCTATTACTTTCTATTATGTTTTATGCAGAGTCAAATGAAGAAGAAAGAACCAAGAAGAAAATCTCAGGCAGTTCAGAACTTAGTGCCACAACCCTCTGCATCTGAGAATCCTCCACCAGCCTATACACAAACTGAAACAGCTATTCCAGCTGCTCCTCAATTTGCTATGAAACAACCAATTAGGAAATCTCCCAGGTTGACTCAGACTGAACCGGCTTTAAATGATCATGGGAGTCAAATACACAAAGAATGCAATTTGGTAACTTTTATATTTTTCTAATTTTGCTCCTTTAATCTTCATTGGTGAACATTAAAAGACATTTATATTTTTATGACAGGCAAAAAAAGGTTATGGAGTCTTGGTGTCTGAGCAGACTGGCAATATTTACATGAGGGTATAAATTTTATCTTTATCTGAGCAGACTAGTACAAAGCCTTCATTGTAGTCATGTTTATGTTTTGTATGATGCTCTGTTGATATTTAGAAGCAATGTTTCAACAGATGTCCACTGCAAGAAGAGTTCATCTTGTTCATGGAGGTCCATCAGCTAGAGGTGGGAGTAGTGGCAGTGCTAGTGCCAGTGTAAGTAGCTCACATAGAGGAACTGGTAGAGGTGGCAGAGGAAGGACTAGAAGTGGCAGAGGTCACACCATTGGCACTTAAGAAAGTGCAGCCAGTTAGTTCAATGAATGTTTGGTTTGGTTGGTCAAATAACATTTGTTGAATGTTAGTTGTTGGGATGATTGGTCACCAACTATTGTCTAACTTGTTTAATGTATTGATACTTGGTTTTGCTTGGATGTTTGGACAAAGATTGTGTTTTTGGTTTCATGTGTGGACAAAGATGATGGTTTTTTGTTGGATGTGTTGACAAAAGTGATTGTTTTTGTTGGTTTTAATCCAAAAGCACCTGGATAGTTTGGTGCTCTTCATTACTTATTGTTTGGTGTTTTTTGTTTGGTATTGTTTGGTGCTCTTCATTACTTATAGTTATGTCAATACTATGTGAATGAATTAACACAAAACATAAACACAATACACATTATCATGTCCCCTAAACAACAAAAAGAAAAAACCTCATCTCCACAATTGTAAAACACACATATGAACAATAAGGTCTTCAGTTAACTAATAATAACAACTAAAATACATAAGTTCAGTGAAAGACACATCTTCTTTCAATCATAAAACCAAGAACACAATATTCATCAGCACACCTTCAATCAAAAGTCATCAACCTTCTCAACACACTCAAAGTACACCTTCAATCGAAAGTCATCAACATTCTCAACACACCCAAAGTCACATTAACCTGCATCTACTTCAGCACTAGCAGAAGAACAACACAAGCCAACATGAACATAACAAATGAAGTTGGAAACTTCTTCTTCTTAACTAGTGTGACTATAAACTCCTCCAATTTAGCATGTTTCACTTGCAGCTCCAACATCTCTCTTTCTATGATGTCCAATCTTGAGGTTATCACTTTGACCTCCTCTTCTTTGCATTTGAATTCATCACCCAAACCTTTCCTTTCATTCTTGAACTTCAAAAAAGCAGCCTTTTGAGATGGTGGAATCTCAGGATCACACCACAAGAAGAACTTACAATCCTTAAACAACAATACAATAATGTTACAATCATCAAAATTATTTTATGACGAATTAAAAAAAAATTAGGGCAAAATCTGTCCATAAATGTCCATCATGTTTCGAAGTAATTCTAAAAAATTAGGGTAAAATCTGTCCATAAAACTTACGCTCCGATGTGGACAACGGAAGTATCTTCGACCCGGATTTGCATCAGTGTGCGAGATCAACAAATCGGCCTCCTCTAAATGGTAACAACAGACTTGTGTGTGGGTTGCACTTCCATTCGAAGCTCCACTATTAGTCGAGCTAGTTGCCATGTGTGGAGGGAGGATCGAAGATAGAGATTGCAGTGATTTTTTGAAGTTGAAGGAACAATTTCTTATCGAAGATAGGGTCGCAGGTCGAAGCGCTCGAGGATTTTAGGGATGAATTTAGGGATTTGTGATTTGAGTTTGGGGATTTTTCAATTTTATAAGAAGTGTTAGATGCAAGAAACAACGTCACGGCGCTGACATGTATATGTTGCCTGAGACACGTCCTCCACGTCAGAGCCATGTTGGATTAAATGGCCGGACAGGTTGGCATTGGTCGGCCGGTAATGTGGTCAATGCTTGGTCTTGCAAAATACCAAAAGGTTGGGTATCGAATTGCCAAGGTCGCAAAGTGGTGACAGAAACGCAAAAGTCGAAAAGGTCGTGATGTGAGGTGCAATTTTACCTTTTTTAAATTTTAAATAATTATCATTAGAGTTATCTATATATATATATATATATATATATATATATATATATATATATATATAAAGATTAACTATTTACCATAAACAGTAACCAAAGTTTTCGGTCAACATTAATTGCATTCCATTTTTAGAATTTTTTTTAAACATTAAATACTGCCTATAATTGTGGGTTTTTTATTAATCCGATAGCAAACAAGTTTAAAATCCCGGTCTATTTTTTATTCCAAAAAACTTGGTAGTATATTTTATTTTATTATTATTTTTTTTTTCTGTGAGGGATCTGATTTTTATATAACTTCTTCTAAAAATCTATTCGTTTCCATTTTTAAATGTTAGAGATCCGATTGCATACAACTTCTTTCAAAAAATCAGATTGCATTATCTACAACAAAAAATAAATCAGGTTGCATTATTTACAACAAAAAATCTGAATGGATACAACTTCATAATACCGTCTCATATTAATCTGTTATCAAAATATATCTGATTGCAAGAAAATCTGGTCCAATTCTGAATTTAAAATTTTAATTTTTAAATGCCATATCATTTAGTTGCCATAGAATCAGGCAGAATAAAATAACTAGACGAAATCATAATGGTCTAATAGTGTGGGCTGTTTTTATTTATTCAAAATTTTCAGATTTCAAATTATTATGATTTCGAATTTCAAATATTTGTTTTTCCATACCAAGTATTATTTATACGCGTACTTCTATCTATAATAATATAATATGTTTCCAAATTTTAAAATTATTTTCCTTGATCAAAATTCTTAAAAAGAATTTGACTATTTTCAGTCTCTCTTTCAGCACAATTATAAGTACACATTTTCTGAATCCATCGAATCATTGCAACTTCACTTTAAATTTTCCAAAAAAAAACCCCACGCATTCTCCCGTTGAAAAAATGAATCAACCATTTGGTTTAATAAAATGGAGGAACTACAATACATATACCGAATATTTTAGTCTGGAAATATGTATCGTCGATTGGAAACAAAAACATTTTATTCACAAGGTTAATTTGTGTATCGTTCTTCAAAATCGAAACAAAACAAAGTTGAGGAAAAACAAGAAATATGTAGGTGGATCTTATGAAAACCCTAAAAAGTTTGGGAATTTTGTATTTTATAGGTGAAATGGATTGTTCATAACCTTTGATCACTTTGACCGATTCAGATCGTCCGATCACCAATTTCGTGCATGTGGGTCGTGTTAGTGTATATACTGAAAGTCACATATTTAATTTATAATTATTAGTTAATATTGTTTACTCTCCTCTTTAATTTATAATTATTATTTAATATTATTTTCCTGTGCATCGCACGGACTACGCACTAGTTTATCTATAACCATATCTGTTAATTTCAAGTCAAATAAATCTAAGATTAGGTGAAAACAAAATAATTATTTGTAAATTTTTGAAAAGTTTAATCTCAAATTATTGATGTTACACCACTAAAAATAGACTAGAATGGGTAGAATAAAAAATTGATTAAATTTTTTTAGAAAGTTTAACCAATAGATTTAGATCAGTTATTAATATCATGATACCTAAATATAAATATAAGTGTCACCTTGGATGATAAAGAAAAAAATTACCAAATGTAAATACGAAAAAAAAGTAAGAAATAATATTTTAAAAATACTTATTAAGTAATTGATATTTTTTTGGCAGAAAATTATTATTCTTAATAGTAAATATAAATCATTTCATATATATACTAGTATGTTGCCCGTGCGATGCACATGACATAATACGACATGATGAAGTTCCATATAGCGTGTACGTTTAGCCCAAAAATAATAGGATTGGATTATGAGAAAATTGCCGCATGCACTCGTACTAAGTATCTTATTTCCATAATTACTACTAAATTCTTTTTAAAGTCAATTATACCAAATAGTAGTACGTAATAATAGTTTTCTTCAAGTTTTGTGTCTGTCGGATTGAAGAAATATTGTCTTGATTTGTTGAACTCTTATTATTTGACTTGTGTGGTGCTCAGATTGGATATTAAGTATTTTATTTGTCAATCAAATAATATAACAATGATACCTACATTTGTTGGATTTTGATATTTTCTATTTTTATTATGAAACTTTTACTTTGTTAAAGATATTTCTAAATCAGCCCATGCACAAGTTCATGCAAAGTCACATGCACAACCCTAAGGAAGCTATGCTCATTCTGAGCCCAATGCAGATGTTTGTTCTTCACAGCCCAAGTGCATGACGGCCCAACTCATCAACTCTCATGCAGAACGTGCCAATTATGTACTTGAAGATAGTGAGCCAAAATCTGTTGAGCATAAGACAAACCCAACGGCTATGTGCATAAGGGATGTACCATGTTCCATCACAGCCATTGATCTTGAAGGGATTTGTTAGATATGTGTAGGGCTAGGATTATCTCTTGTACTGGCTTATCTCTATCCATCTTGCACTAGGGTTTAGATATAAATATATGATATGCACTGTAACTCATTATGCTTTGTATGGAGAAGTTCTGAAATTCGATCAATGAAAATGGCAGTTCATTTTAGCTTCTTGTTCTCTGATTTTCTTATTTTCTTTCATGGTATCAGAGCAGGCTTAGCCTGCTGCTGATTATCCCACTTTTTTCTTTTCATTTTTGTTCCTAGGATGTCAAATACAAGCTCAGCCATGTCTGGCACAGGGGAACAAACACCAAACACATCCATTCAAATTATTTATCCTCAGAATCAACTTTTGACCACAAAACTTGATGAAAACAACTACCTCATTTGGAAACAACAAGCATTAATCACCATCAGAGGCTATGGTCTCGAGCATTATCTTCTTGGTGGATAACAACCAGCTCAGTTCATACAGCAGCAGTAATCTCAAACACTCAATCCTGAGTTCATCACCTATCAAAGGCAGGACCAAATCCTTGCTTCGTGGCTGTTATATTCACTTTCAGAAAGCCTTCTTGTTCAAATGGTGGGGCTTCAAACCTCTCAAGAAATCTGGAATGCTCTATCCACCAACTTCACAAACCAGTCCTTAGCCAAAAAAATGCATCCAAACAATGAGAAAAGGCAACTTGAGCACGAGGGAGTTTCTCAACAAAATGAAAGGGTGTTTTGATATGCTAGCATTTGTTGGAGCAAAGGTTACTAAGAAAGATCAAATCTTGCACATCATCTCAGCTTTAGGCAGTGAATATGATCCTGTGATGATCACAGTTACCTCAAGAATTGATACTTGGTCTATTATGGATGTCCAAGCTTTTCTTCTCAGTTATGAGTCAGACTTGAAGTAGCAACCACTCCTAACAACAGCAGCAATGTCAACACTGCTGGTTCTCAACCCTCTCTCAATCTAGTCACCCAAGGAAATCAAAGAGGAAACTGGAATAACAACAATCAAGGAAGAGGAAGGGGTGGCTTTAGAGGAAGAGGAAGATCTAGAGGGGGTTATAGAGGAAGAGGAGGTCGTTTTCAAGGAGGCAGAGCTGTTTGTCAAGTGTGTTGGGGCACAGGACACACTGCTGATAGATGTTGGTATAGATATGACTCCAATTTTGTGACTTCAACTCAACAAAACACTTCACCCTCTCAGAATCAAGGCAATGCTTTTTCTCATTCCAACAGAAGTCCTGCTCTTCATTTGGCTCAGCTACCACCACCTTCACCTAGCATCTCCTCAGAAAGCAACATGGAGTCTCTGTGGTATCCAGACTCAGGAGCAACAAATCACATCTCTAATGACTTAACCAACCTCTCAAATGTTGCAGATTATCAAGGCACAAACAGGCTCCACATGGGAAATGGTGTTGGTGAGTTTATCTCCCATATTGGTTCAGCTCAACTTACATCACTACAATCTTCTAAAATTTTTAAACTAAGTAAACTCCTTCATGTTCCTTCTATCACTAAAAATCTCCTTAGTGTGTCTAAATTTGCCACTGATAATAATGAGTTCTTTGAATTCCATCCTAACTTTTGTCTTGTCAAGGACTAGGTTTCTCATCAAGTTCTTCTCAAGGGAACTATTAAAGGAGGTCTCTATCAATTTCATCTCACCAGTCATAAAGACTCTCAGACCAGTTCAACCTTAAATCACTCAAACAGTCTTCAACCTAGCATCCATGCAGTTTCAGCTGTTTTCCATTCCAAGAAATGTGGCCTTGACTTTGGCACAAAAGACTAGGACATTCATCTTTTGATGTTGTTAGAAGAGCTTTAAAAGATTGTAATATTCCTTTTGAAATGAACAATATGAATGATCCTTGTTTCCTCTTGTTTGTTGGCAAAAGCTCATAGGCTCCCTTGTACTCAATCTGAGACTTTGTATACTGCTCCTCTTGAACTTGTCCACTCAGATTTGTGGGGTCCCTCTCCTGTTAAATCCAGAAATGGTTACCTTTACTATGTCACCTTTATTGATCATCATAGTAGATTCACTTGGCTTTATCTCCTCAAAAACAAATCTGGCACCTACAATGCTTTCCTTCATTTTAAGAAACTTGCTGAGAATCAACTTAATAGGAGCATTAAATCTATTCAAACTGATTGGGGAGGGGTATTTAGAGCCTTGAGTAAGTTCTTTGTTGATAATGGAATTCATCACAAACTTTATTGTCTTCATACTCCTCAGCAAAATGGTTTAGCTGAGAGGAAGCACAAACATGTTGTGGAAATGGGGTTATCTTTACTTGCACAGTCTTCTCTTCCTATGGTTTTTTGGGATGATGCCTTTGTCACATCTTGCTATTTGATAAACCGTGTTCCTACCAAACTTCTTCATCACAAATCACCCTTGGAAGTTCTTTATGGCCATAAACCAAACCTTCACATGCTCAAAGCCTTTGGATGCCTATGTTATCCTCTCATTAGACCCTACAATAAAAATAAACTTGAATTCAGATCCACAAATGGTACCTTTGTTGGTTGCAGTCCTCATCACAAGGGCTACAAAGTCCTTTTACCTAA